ATATGTAAATAAAATATTATATTCTTTTATAGTATTTGTAAATGAGATGCAATATGCAATTTTATATAAGTTTCTTTTTATTTCAACTTAAGGTATATGCTTTATTATATATTCCAGGTGCTTATCAACAAAATCTAGTTCTTTTAAATAAGGTATTGTTATATTGTTTTTGTAAAGACGTCTAATGTTTGAATTTGAATACCAGCACAACAGATGTTGCAGTTCTCATTATGCCCCATGAACAGATTCCCTCCCATGAATAGACGCAACACAAAAACCGAGTCTGTGATTTTCTACTACATGTGTATTTGTTTTTGTTTTGATTGTTCTTTATCGAAGGGTCACCTGTTTTCAAAATTATGATATCAATATTTATGTCCTGACCTCTGTTAAGATTTATATGTTTTAAATGGTATTTTATAAGGTTAACAGTTATTTGATAATAGCCAAAGGGAAGTAAGCAAGCTTAGAGCAATATTTGGTATGATTATTGCCCCTTTGTATTTTGACAAAATGTGCTGCAAATGAAGTTTTTTCTTTTATCAAGGGTATTTGGCTATTGACTTACCCAATATACCCTAGTAACCCTTTGATGATGAAATATGTGATACATGTTAAATAATGATCCACTTTATTCGCCTGATTTATTGTGTACAGTACTGTTTTGATATTAATATGTATACGAGTTAAAACTGCTTATTATTTCAGCCGACTCAGGGATGATTTCTTCCGGAATAATTGAAATTTTGGGAAGTTTTTACTATTGCTTTGAAAATAAGGATATATTTAATTTAATGAATTTAAGATGCTTTTTATTGTTTACTTTAAGTTAAGAAAAAACTGTATTGAATAACATACTGTTTAATCTTAAAACATGGATGAAATAAACTATTAACTGATTTTATTTGTTGTTTTTTATTTTCCCAGGAACATTTATGAGAACATTTTTCAAAAATTAATGAATATTTTGTTTTGTAAGAAATTAGACAGTTTAGTTTAAGGTACGTTGGTTTTGATACAAACAAAATTTAAGATATACTTCATATTAAACAGGTTGAAAAGCCCAGTGTCCCGGCGTCCTGATATTGGGTTATATCAGACTTGAATGATTACAAATATTTTAGTATATCTTTCAACAATAAGGCATTTCCATAGTAGATGCATAATGTTTATCTATCATTTTATAAATTAATACCTAAATTCATGTAATACAGAAGTGTGATGTCTAAGTATTTATTTCTAATTATCAAAGACGTAGTTCATGTTAGTCACGGCATATATCCACAATGCATGCGTGTGAAGAAAACGCAGAAATTTGTGCAAAAAGAAACACAGAATTGTACGCATCGGTGTTGCGAAATGAGAACCACTACTTTTATTCTATTTTTATTTCATAAATCACAATGAATGGAAATGACTAAGTATATACGGCTGCTAAGATATTAAATTTTAACTCCTTTACAAATATTTCTTTTTCAAACATTCGTGATCCAGAGTATTGAAAGCAATTTTGATACTCGTACTCACTGATTAGTAACCTCGAAAAAATAACGCATACAATATATATTCTGATAAAACTGAAATGAAGTAGATCACAAATATGACTGAGGTACTTTTCATGCGGTTAAGTCGATTTCTGATGAATATCGAGTTAACGCCATTTATCTGACGTCATTCTCGTGGTCTTCTAATTGAAAATCGGCGCAGGAAATTCTTGGAGTTTAGATAAATATATCAGAGACATAGATAATGTTATATATGTCTCTGAATATATGCATCATGTTCACCTTATGATAACTGGAGAAACTGAACGAACATCTCTTATATTGATTCATTATTTTTTTCTTTATTAGCTCACCAGAGCCGAAGGCTCAGGGTGAGCTATTAGTATCAAAGGGGATGCTCCGGCGTCCGTCGTCCGTCGTCATGCGTCAACAATCGTCTTTTTCTCTGAAACTACTGGGCAGATTTACTTCAAATTTGGTCTGTAGCATCCTTGTGACAGTCACACTTGAATTTGCTCATGTAATTCCAATTGGCCCCTTTTAGGGGTAATCAGAGCTAAAAATAGAAAAACTTTTAAACATCTTCTTCTACAAACTTTTAAACATCTTCTTCTACAGAACTAATGGATGGATGATCACCAAACTTTGTCTGTAGCATTCTTGGGTAGTGTTTTATCAAGTTTGCTCATATAAATTTGATTGGCCCCTTTTAGGGGTCTCTAGGGCTAAAAATAGAAAAACCTTTAAACATCTTCTTCTACCGAACTAAATGGATGGATGATCACCAAACTTGTTTGTAGCATTCTTGGGTAGTCTTTTATCAAATTTGCTCATATCAATTTCATCGGCACCTTTTAGGGGCCGCTATAGCTAAAAATAGAAATACCTTTAAATGTCTGTTTCTATAGAACTAATTGATGGATGATCACCAAACTTTGTTTTTAGCATTCTTAGGTAGTCTTTTTATCAAGTTTGCTCATATTAATTTGATTGGCCCCTTTTAGGAGTCTCTAGGGCTAAAAATAGAAAAACCTTTAGACATCTTCTTCTACAGAACTAATAGATGGATGATCACTAAACTTTGTCTGTAGCATTCTTGGGTAGTCTTTTATCAAGTTTGCTCATATTAATTTGATTGGCCCTTTTAGGGGCCACTATTAGCTAAAAATAGAAATACCTTTAAACTTCTGTTTCTATAGAACTACTAGATGGATGATCACCAAACTTTGTCTGTAGCATTCTTTGGTAGTCTTTAATCAACTTTGCTCATATTATTTTCATTGGCCCCTTTAAGGGATCTCTAATGCTAAAAATAGAAATACCTTTAAATGTCTTCTTCTACAGCACTAATTGGTGGATGATCACCAAACTTTGTCCGTAGCATTCTTAGGTAGTCTTTATTCAAGTTTGCTCATATTAATTTGATTGGCCCCTTTTAGGGGTCTCTAGGGCTAAAAATAGAAAAACCTTTAGACATCTTCTTCTTCAGAACTAATTGATGGATGATCACCAAACTTTGTCTGTAGCATTCTAAGGTAGTCTTTTATCAAGTTTGCTCATATTAATTTGATTGGCTCCTTTTAGGGGCTGCTATAGCTAAAAATAGAAATACATTTTAACGTCTGCTTCTGCAGAACTAATTGATGGATGATCACCAAACTTTGTCTGTAGCATTCTTAAGTAGTCCTTTATCAAGTGTGCTCATATTAATTTGATTGGTCCCTTTTAGGGGCCGCTATAGCAAAAAATAGAAATATCTTTAAACGTCTGCTTCTGCAGAACTAATTGATGGATGATCACCAAATTTTGTCTGTAGCATTCTTTGGTAGTCCTTTATCAAATTTACTCATATTTATTTGCTTAGACCCTTTTAGGGTCTCAAAAAGCTAAAAATAGAAAAACCTTTAGATATCTTCTTCTACAGAACTAATTGATGGATGATCACCAAACTTTGTCTGTAGCATTCTTAGGTAGTCTTTTGTCAAGTTTGCTCATTATTAATTTGATTGGCCCCTTATAGGGGCCTCTAGGGCTAAAAATAGAAATTTCTACTTCTACAGAACTAATTGATGGATGATCACCATACTTTGTCTGTAGCATTCTTAGGTAGTCTTTTATCAAGTGTGCTCATATTAATTTGATTGGTCCCTTTTAGGGGCCGCTATAGCTAAAAATATTGGGAGCAACTATAGCTAAAATGCCCTGGGCGATGGCATTTCTTCAAATTATAGTTTAATAATGAAAGGAAAATAACTCCTGTTGGAATTTTCCATATATGTGTACATGCAAACATGTGACCTCCCCAATTTGAGTGGGAGACACCTTCTTTCTCCTGTCAAATTTTTAAATATTTTTCTTAGAATAAGGGTTGTTTTAAAAAAAAATGAAGAAAGTCCCTTCTTTTTCATTTCAAAATTTCCTGTCAATTAAAAAATCTCCCTCTTTTTGAAGTAAATTCTCCCTCTTGAAAAAAGTTCACATGTACATCACCTGTTTGCTTTACAGAGATCTGAGGTCAATGTGCTTTGTACCCTAGAATTCAAATGGCCATTTCATCATTACATCATTCTAAGGTTCATTTGTAGGTCAATCTAGAGAATTTTCCTTAAGGCCTAAAAAAATGTTTCATTTGTTTCTGAAAATGTCAAAGACCTTCAAGGTCAAAAGTCCAAATTTTTGGACCACCACCACCATGCGTACCACCACCAGCATGCGGACCACCACTAGCATGCGGACCACCAGCAGCATGCAGACCAACACCAGCATGCTGACCACTCCCAACATGCAGAACACCGCCAACATGCAGACTACCGCCAGCATGCTGACCACCACCAGCATGCTGACCACCACCACCATGCAGACCACCGCTACCATGGGGACCACCGCTACTATGCGGACCACCACCAGCATGCGGATCATCACCACCATGCTAACTACCGCCACCATGTGAACCACCACCAACATGCAGACCACCACCAACATGCGGACCACTGCCAACATGCGGACCACCACCAGCATGCAGACCACCACCAGCATGCGGATCATCACCACCATGCGGACTACCGCCACCATGTGGACCACCACCAAACATGCGGACCACCACCAATATGCGGATCACTGCCAACATGCGGACCAGCACCAGCATGCGGACCTCTACCACCATGTGGAACCACCATCAATATGCGGACCACCACCAGCATGCGGACCACCACCACCATGCAGACCACCAACATGCGGACCACCACCAACATGCGGACCACAACCCCCATGTGGACCACCGCCAACATGCAGACCACCACCAACATGCGGACCACCACCAGCATGCTGACCACCACCAACATGCGGACCACCACCAATATGCGGATCACTGCCAACATGCGGACCAGCACCAGCATGCGGACCTCTACCACCATGCGGGCCACCACCAGCATGCGGAGCATCACCACCATGCGGACCACCACCATGTTGACCACGGCCACCATGCGGATCATCACCACCATGCGGACCACTGCCAACATGTTGACCACTGCCAACATGCGGACCACCACCACCATGTGGACCACCACTATCATGCGGACCGCAAACCGCCATGCGACCCACCACCAGCATATGGACCACCAACATAATGCAGACCACCACCACAATGCTGACCGTCGCTACCATGCGGACCACCACCACCATGCGGATCACCGCCGCCAACATGTGGACCATCATCAATATGCGGGCCACCACCAGCATGCGACCACCACCACCATGCAGACCACCACCATCATGCATACCACCATCAATATGCAGACCACCACCAGCATGTGGACCACCACCAACAGCGGTCCACCAACAACATGCGGACCACCACTACCATGCGGACCGCAACCGCCATGCGGCCCACCACCAGCATATGGACCACCAACATAATGCAGACCACCACCACAATGCTGACCATCGCTACCATGCGGACCACCACCACCATGCGGATCACCGCCGCCAACATGTGGACCATCATCAATATGCGGGCCACCACCAGCATGCGACCATCACCACCATGCAGACCACCACCATCATGCATACCACCATCAATATGCAGACCACCACCAGCATGTGGACCACCACCAACAGCCGACCACCACCAACATGCGGACCACCACTACCATGCGGACCGCAACCACAATGCTGACCACCGCCACCATGCGGACCATGACCACCATGCTGACCGCAACCGCCATGCGGCCCACCACCAGCATATGGACCACCATCATCATGCGTACCACCACCATGTCAACCACCACCACCATGGGGACTACAGCTGCCAACATGCGGACCACTATCAATATGCGGACCACCACCAGCATGCGGACCACCACCACCAGCGGACCACCACAAACATGTGGACCATTGCCGACATGCGGACTACCTCCAGCATGTGGACCACCACAAGTATGCGGACCACTACCACCATGCGGACCACCACCAACATGTGGACCACTGCCGACATGTGGACCACCACCAGCATGCGGACCACTACCACCATGTGGACCACCACCACCATGCGAACCACCTCCATGCCGGCCACCACCACCATGCGGACCCCCCCATGCGGACCGCCACCACCAACATGCGGACCGCCGCCAACATGCGGACTACACTGTGCGGACAAGTAAATTTAGATATTCAAAATATATAGACAAAACTGACAGATGGATTAAATTTATAAAAAGGAAACGTTAAGATTTGTTCAAACATTTCTTTGTTTGCTTAAAGAAAAAGTAAAGAGTCGAGCGTTGCCCCCACCTGGCGGTGGCTCTTGTTTAATCTTTGTGCTTTTTAAGTATCAGTTTCAATTATTTCTATTCAGAATCACATTTTACAAACTTGGTTATCACTTGTTGTAAGTAATTTTGCACTGTTTCATACAATGTATGTAAAGTTGTTTTCATGTTCACTGAATACATTTCATCAAAAACAACCTTTTGCTTTTTTCCTCTATGTAGTTAAGATACAATTTTTCTCATTTCTATTAGAGAGTAAGCTAATTAACCAGAAATGTTAACTTTCTGGTCAAGTTGACTAGTATACCTATGTTATCTTAAATAAATATTGACTGGTGGTGTCATCCTGACAAACAGTATACATGTATATCTAAATACTGAGATTATATAATTATCTAATTTTTTAGATAATTAGAAAAAAAGAAGAAAGATCCCAATTTTGAAAAACAGTCATAGGCAAATTTTATCACAAATTAATGGATGGATGATCACCAAACTTGGTTCCTATCATTTTTACTATAAAGTGTTTGGAAACCTTTAAACTAGAGAGGTGAGTTGAAGTTGACCTGGACTTCTCTTTCTACAAGTTTATTTGAAAAAAAATTTCTATAATCACTGAAAAACAGTTGTTTCTGGTGAGCGATTCAGGGCCATCATGGCCCTCTTGTTATAGAAAACTTTATGCCAATTTTTCCGCGTTTTCAAATTCCCCAGAATGCGTCTTTTCATGTTTCATTTTTCAATTTTCCGAAAAAGATGTCTCCTGACTCCTACCGGCGTAACCCTCCCACACTTTCATCAGTACGCAAGCACAGACACTTGGGGTGTGGTTCACAAAAGGCAGTTCAAATCCAAATTAAATGTATATTTGTCAATACCAGCACATGTGCTTATCATATATATCATATACGAGGGTTGTCCCAAAAGTCCGTGACAAATTTTATAGCCGGTTCATTTTTAACGCCAATAGAAAATAATTCACACATATAACTGTTAAGTTTATTATTTAACATTACAACAAATCATTTACAAAAAAATTTACCCTAGTTACTTAGAAATTTTCAGTATTAACGACATTGGTTTGAGTTGCCGGCGCACGTCAAATAATTTACATTTTGTTATGAATAGGCTGAAATTAATTACGTATATTTCAAAAATCTGATGATGTGTCTGCACAATGTCACGTTGACTTCCCCTGCTGCTATGTTTAAATCATCTCTGAAAAGTTTAGTTAAATAACTTAAGAAACGAAAAAGATACGAATAAATGAAGATATCTCATATAAAATAGGAAAGTTAAAATGGCGACGTTCGAAGAATTTGCGGCGCAGTGAACATGTCACTCAGGTTTCATGACTATTTCGAGATGACACATGTAACGATTTTCAACAAATATACCAATTATAACAGTTTAGCAACATTTCCTGAGCATTTGTGTACAAAAGGCATGAACGGAACCAGAGTTTTGCGCTACAAAAAGCGAAAATAAGGAAAACACGCATATTTCCTACAGCTAAAAGCAGGTGTAACGAGACCGGAAGTTCGCGTATAGCAAAAGTTAATGTATGCCATCCAAACATTCAACAGACATTAGCAACCACATGATTTAAGTCAGAAATTGACGATTTATGGGTACCATTATTGCGTTGAAAGCCATTGAGAGTATTTGAGAAAGGCGCCTTATATAGATTTAACGCCGTCTTTGACGTTGGACGTGCGCCGCGATTCAGTTAGTTGCCATGGTGTTTATGGCATATTTTTGTTGTTTGTTGATATTTATCTATGAAAATTTGTGAAAATGTTTAAATTATATGGGTTTATAACATATTAAAAAATAAATTCGTACCTGTTTTATGTAGCTTTTAAACAATCTTGTCACAGAATATTGGGACAACCCTCGTATATCATTAAAACATAAGTTGTTTTGAAAAAAACATACAAGATGAAAATGTTCGCTGGAAAAAATCCCGCACACCTACCCTCAAATCACCTCGTATTTTATTCCATATCCAATATTTTCACATAATCATTTCATCCATCGACACAGTAGATATTATTATCCACGGTGATGGTCAATTTTAAACTTCAGCATCAGTATAACCAACGCAACAGGTGAAAAAACATGAAAATTATCGCCGTTTTACTCTTTTTACAAATTTTTTCGACATATTCAAATTGGCTCCTAACTTTGCCGTATTTAAATGCGCCGCGCTTTGAAAAATAGAACCAACATATTACCGAAGGGCTCCGACTACAGCCAGACTGGTTCTCGCGCAGCGCATTTGAATACATTTCAAAAGCCTGGTACATTGATTTAGTCATCCCTTGCTATTTTTAGGCAAAAACAAAACCGTGCAGCATCTTAGCCAATCGCTAATCGGCCCTTTAAACTTCGGATAAGGACACCTTTTTTGCATTGTGTACACCGGTCTTACTGACGATATTTGAGAGACCTGTGTGTATACACTCTCGGATGATTATGAATAATCGCGTAGGTATTTAGAGTCTTTATACTTGAGGACCGAAAGTTTACATGAGTCACGAATACAATATTTCTTCCTGTTTTATGAAACGATTTAATCTTCTTTTCCAAAGTTCGCATAATTTTACTGACATTGTTTTGCATTGAATAGATTGTAAGTTTAAATTCAATGGAATGTGCATGTAACCATACGTTACGATACTCTCCCATAAATTATGGCATTATACTGTAGGAAAGTATGACTTATGAAATATATTATCTACATGCAAAATAATCAAACATGAAATCAAGGTGTAAACATGACTATCGGGTTTCTTTTGTGTGACAAGAAGGTATATTTTCCATTTATTTATATATGTACATGTATATTTCACAATAAACCAGAGTTAATATTAGATTACTTCCATTCCTGGTCTAGTTTGATTCAATAATTTTGATAATTTCAGCATAAATGTGCATGCTAGTAACAATTATTCGACACTGCTCAAATTTGTTGGCTTTATGTCATTTTGAAAGTAAATATTTTAATATCACTTTTTATTCATTTATTGTATTCGGAAGTATCAAATGATTCAGGTACATTGTATCATGTTATTTTTAATATCAATGCAACAAAATTGCTTGTTCTTTTCAGCTATTGTAATGCATAGTGAAACAGTTGTAAAATCTGACAAAATTAATTACGTATATGTAGTCTAGAGTTAGTTCATATTTTCAGACAAATGCTGTAATAGTGGCAACTATTAGACAGACCAATTATAACTTTTTATTATGTCTATTTTGAAAACTAACTTGTCAGATTCTTTTCTAGTTTTTACACCAATTATCAAATTCAAAAACCAATAACAGCCAGTAGTTATATACATGTATTTATAAAAAAAGTCTTGTTATGTTAACCTATATTTATGTCTTATTGATACTAATCATTAGTCTTCTTATGTCAAAAGAAAACAACATATAAATGACTTGTCCCAACATTGTGCATTCTTGGAAAATACAAATCCAAATATATCATCATCTATTTCACATTCACCAGTAATTAAATCTATGTGTGTCATGCGTGTTTTTTCAAAGTCTGAAATATTGATTTTATTCTCTTCTTTCCCAATTGTAAGTGGCATTTTCCAATCTTCATTTCTGAATACATTTTGCACTTTCCCATCAGTTGCCATGGTTACAATGCAGCTTGCCTTTCTGTCAGAGGCACAAATCAGTTGCTTTTCAGTATCGAAATATATATAAGCTGGTTGTTGGAACAACTGCTCACCTGCTTGATCTTTTATATAACATTGGATTATTGTTCCTGTTTTATTTAGAATTAAAACTTGTGCAGGTTTACTGCATGCCACATACAGCTTGTCCTCTGCAAAGTGTATTCCCTCACATCTAGCACCAACATTTATTTTCTCTCCAACTGTTATGTTTTCATCTTCAACAGACATGATTTTGATTTTATTTACATTTGGCAATGTTAATGCAAACTTGTTTTCCTCAATAGATGCAATATCCCATGGACATGATGTTAATTCTTTCTCTGTTACCAATGTATGTTCATCTACTGTATACAGCCTTACACGATTGTAAATTGTATCTAGTATAATTACATTTTCATTTGATATTTGGCATCCTCTTGGCATTCCATATTCAGGATAGTTTCCATAGAAACTCTTCATATCCTCTTCTGACTCTTCTTTCTTTTGTACACACAATTCACCAAGAGCATCAACATTTTTCAGCGCACTGTTCAGAAACTTGTTTGGAATAAAACAATATTTGTCCACTTTGTTTTCTTTTTGTATATCTGCCACTTTTTGTTCAAGAAAGTTCAGTTTTTCTTGATTTTTCTTTAATGCAATGAATAGCTGTTTGCTTTGTTTTGTTTCCTCTAGTATTTGAAAATCTTCTTTCAGGTTATCTAGAACAGTTTTTGAATCATTGGCTGAATTTTCGACTTCTTTCAGTTTTCTAACTTCATTGTTCTCTTTTTCCTCAGCTTCTTTTGCAAGTTCCTGCTTCTGCAACTCAAACTGGATGTTTATTTTCTGCTGTAATTTATTGATTTCAGTTAGAGCCGTTTCTCTGCAAGATCTACATATTGCTATGTTTTCTCTTGCAGTTTTAATCTGATCCTCTAGGTTGGTCTTGGTTGTCTCCATTCTTGTACAAAAATCTTTATATGCAGGTGATAGTTCCACATCCTTAGCTATATCTGTGAGGGTGCAGATTTCAAGGCATGGTTTGTGGTGTATGATCATACAAGAGTTGCAGCCAACTGTCCCGTGTGTTTTACAGTAATATTTAATCATCTCCTCCTCATGATGTGAACAGGTTTCAGAGAGACTTTCATCAACCTTTCTCTTTGGCATTTCTGACTTCCCTAGCAATTTGTGATGTTTCATCGGTTTAGGAAGGCAGTGATACCTGAAGCATTGATCACAAAGGTAATGCTGACATTCCACACAGAATCCTTCTGCTTCCTTTTTATCTCCATCTTGGTAACAAGGGTCACAAAATAAAAAGGCACTTGTTACTTCATTGTTTGGTTGATTTGTAAAGTCTGTAAGTTTCCCAGGTACACTGTCAGCCATCTTGTTTATGTAAACTCTGTCTTAAATATGTTTTAAGTTTTTTTTTCCATTTAAACTTCACTTTTATTTGAAATAGAATCTGTCACATTTTATTATCCACTTTTATTTCCTGTTTCCTGAGCTGACTATTTTGAAATCGTAATCATGTTGAAATACTTTACAAATACATATACGTCCGATTTACTTGAAATGGACGTATTTACATACAAATAATCAGGATAGTGACAGATTAAATCCGTTTGTAATATTTAAGAAACTTGAAAGAAAACTCGATTATATGTCCTCAATTTACTGTCACAAATGTCGGTCGGATATACACACTTGATCATTGTAGTCTACTTGATTGTGTTTAACAAGAATACTTGACACAATCGAGTAAATATGGGAACCCAGGCATTGCAATAATTAGCGCTTATAAAATTGTCAGTTTGCTCTTAATAATCTAAAAAAAAGTCTTTGATATTAATGTCGTAAGTACACAAAATTATAAAATATATGATCGCTAAAACAGATGAATTGTACTTTTTTGTCGTTTTTAAATGATCCCGTTTAAATGAATTTTAATCTGTATTTGTGCGAATGCTATTCCATAAACATTAAAGACGCCACCGACTTTTACTAGATCTACACATACTCGTGTTATTTACTCAGATTAATTATTTTGTATGCATGTAAATTTACACAGTTGCTTTGACGTTCACAGACACTTGGGTGTGGAGCTTAAAACGCCTTTAAAATCCAAATAAAATGTATATTTGTCAATCCAAGCACATGTACTGATCATGTATATTAAAAAAACTTAATATAAGCCGTTTTGAAAAAAAATCATATTTCAACGTCCATAATAATACACGTATGACATTAGACTTTAATTAATTCATAACATTGAATGTGACCCACTTTTGCATTGAGGAAATGTCTACCTTTTCTAACATTGGATCTCCGAATTCAGATCAGTCTAAGAGATCTTGTTTATAAAATTGCACACCTTTACATTGGTGGGATGTGTATAATTTTGCACAAAGTATTATCTAGTAATAAAATATGAAATGTTTACTAGTCTTAAATTGCATTAAAGATCATGCATGATATTGTGGCGATATTGATTATCCTTTACAAATTTTAAGGTATGATCAGTAAAAGGTATTTGCTAAGTGCATTATTAATCATAAAACGAGACCAATTCAGTGTCACGAAGGCTGGTTTTTTAATGGCACAAACGCTCTGTAGACGGTAGGTAGACGATGACAACCGGTCAGGCAGACCTCCGTCCGTAATGCCGGGGCATGTGACGAGGGTTGTTAAATATATTCGTTCACTGGTGAATGTGTTACATGTACGTTGCATATGAACAATAAAAACTACAAATTACTTTGCATCAATCATTCCTATATTGATAGTAAAACAAATTATGACATAAAAAGCAAATGCCACTTTACAAGCAACAGTAAATAAATACAATTACAGTAATGAACTAACCCATTTTTTTGTCGTGCGCCGGTATAACGTTACTAAGGTAACTCAATGACAATTCTTTTTCACGATACGCCGGTTACACGGCTTTTTCTTTTGTTTTCCTATTTGAGACAGATTGCCCTTCATGTGATATATAATAAATGTTTTTTATTAATGACTCTCAGAACAATAACTGCAGTGCACGAATTTTTTGGACAACCCTCGTACTGTAGGCAACTGCAAAAATGTATTATGCAAGGCATTTATTGACTTTATAGGATACTTAAACTTCTCAGAATCTAGAATGCACAGTGCTAAGATAATTTGTATGTAGTATATCATTGTTGATCACCTACAAAAGTGATACAATATGATAAACAAGATCAACAAGAAAAGGCGGCGTTCAATGAACGCAACCCCCACCCGACCCAGCAACAAGAGCCAGTGGCAAGGAGCCCAGGAGGACCCCAAAACAAAAACAGGACAGGGCACAAGGGCATGGGCAGGCTAACCACTAAAATCATAAATAATTAGTTACTGATAAGGAACTAAAAGAAAACAAATAAATGATTGAAAAATAGGCCCATAAAGTCAAAGGGCACAGGGGAAGGGGACAGGAGATCCGGGGAAGGGAGGAGATAAATAAAATAAATAAAAACTAGGGGCAAAGGGGAAGATACTTACCGTAGACGAGAAAACAACAAGGGACACAAGTGTCACCAAAACAGTATGAAACAACATAGACATACATCTGAGGAACACAGAGGGGCGCCGCCTTGGAACGGTCAGCAGCATAAATACTGCTGGGGAGTTTAAACCGGTTAATGGTGCACCAAACCTCGCTCTTAGCCCCACTATGTTCCTATAAACGAGACAGTGTAAATAAAATGAATCCCCGCCAAGTGAAATTCTAACAGTTGTTATGGTTACAAAAGGTTAAATAAGTAAAACACCAAAATGATCATGTAGAAACATATAAAAGTAAACCCAATGACCATAACAAAAGTACTCAATGTCTTAAAGGAAGACAGAGCAACAAGAAAATCACCTACAAGGGCCCGACGAAGCAAGACAGAAGACAAACATTAAGGCAATTCAGTCCCAAAGGGCTTTAAGAACTGTCCATCATAGAGTCTCCCACTTGGTCCGTCAGATGTAATCAAAAGAGGAAAGCGTAGCGTCCAACTGTAAATGGGCTGAACACTAAGCATGCGGTATGTCTTAAAATTGTAGGGTCATAACCCCTTTTAATAAAACGTTTAATAATTTTAGTAAAAACAACAGAAAAATTACAATGACCCAAGATCTTACGAAGTTTGTAAACAACATCCCCGTAAAAATCAGGCTGGCTTATCCCTTGTCGCAGAAGTGCTTTTAGATCACTATTGAATTTTGAAATTAAATCAAAGTTACGATTGTAAAATTTTGTAAAATATTTACGTAATTTATAATAGCGGTAGCCCTGTTTGAGCAGCTTACCGGTAATGAATATATTTCGCTCGTTAAAATCCATTACGTTGCTACAAGCCCTAGCAAATCTAATTAACTGAGATATATAAACCCCGTAAAATGTTGCATGCGGTACGTCTCAATCCAAATGCGGATAATTTACTATACCAAAATCAAAGTCATCTCTTTTATCATAGATTTTCGTGTGAATAGAATTGTTTTTAATAGTTATATGAAGATCCAAAAATGATGTAGTTAAATTTCAAGAATTCGTTTATTAAGTTGTAGCTCAGTAGGATAAATATTAGACACCATTGATCAAAATAAGAATTATCTAAATTAAAAATGTCATCAAGGTATCTGGAAGTGTTATTAAATGCTGATATAACATCTTGTTGTGTATTTTCAGAGAGACTCAACATAAAATCTCTTTCATAGCAATACAAAAACAAATCGGCGACCAGGGGTGCACAATTAGTACCCATAGGAATTCCAATGAATTGTTTGAATAGGGTATTACCAAACCTGACATGACTATTGTCTAAAAGAAAAGAGAGTGCTCTACAAACTTCGTCACAGGTCCACATAGTATACTGTTTTACAATACAGTTTGTAAAGAAGGCTTTTTGAGAGTTACATGCAAGAAACGTAACTTTTTCCCGTGCAAAGGTTTTCTGAATAAGGGAAATTAGTTTATCATTAATCAAATTATGTGGCAGTGTAGTATAAAGGGTAAAAAATCGTATGTACTGACAGTTGAAGCTTGATAGTTCTTAATTTTCAATTTATCCAGAATTTCACGGACCAAAATAGATGTTTGTCGGTATTTTCGTACACTTTATCACAGTATCTAATTACATGTGTTTTAATGGCAGTCAAACAAGATGTCAATAAAATAGAAAGTTTACTTGTTGTGCTAGATGTAGAATTAGCACTGAATCTGGCTTTGTAAGGTTTTTTTATGTAATCTAGGAATCCAATACATAATAGGAAGTTTTAGTTCTTTTTCATCTATTCGGACTTTGAGACTGGAAATATTAGTGACATGATTGTTAACAATGTCTTTTTCAAAAAAATGCTCCTTTGTCAAAATATACCTCTGCTCTTTTGGTCACTTTTTTGCTGCAAAGACTTTACATTGTGTAGAGAAATGCAATGTGATATTCTTGTTGCAACTGCGTAAATTGGATAGATTTTCCGCATGTTGTAACCATATGACCAACTTTTAGAAACCTTCAGCTTAAATCTAAGTTTCGACTACTTGTATGAGAAAATTAAATTAGACCTTAATTAAACTGGAATGTGACCTCTGCATAGAGGAAATGTCTCCCTTTTCTGGCATTGGATGGCACATGCCAGAACAATCAAAAAAAGATCTTGTTTATAATATTGCACACCTTAACATTCGTGGGATGTGCATAATTGTGCACAATGTATTATCTAGCAATAACATTTATAATGTTGACAAAGCATCAAATTGCATAAACTATTTACACGGTTATATTGATTAAATTTTGTAAGCTTTAAATTATGATTAGCAAATAGTATTAGTATTAGTACTTAATTTATCGTACTTGTTTGTCATCAGTGTTGAACATAAAACGGGAACACTTCAGTCATGGGTAAGATAGTACCAGTGAGGCAAATTTATAAATTTATACATTAATCCACTAAATGCTGTACAAACTGTACAAATGACATATCGTCATCTTAGTGAAATAACTGGTTTAGTCCTATTAAATTTAGAAGGATTTAACCCATTCCCAATATTGCACTAAAGAGACGATATAGGCAAATACAAAAAATTTACTATGCAAGGCATGTTAATACAGTCATGCATGTACAAGGTTTTATTTCTAACCAACATAAAGTCTTCTCTAAGTGTTAAAATTTGTCATAAAATATAATATTATATAATTTGTGATAATATGAAAATAACCTATACCTAACAAGGGTTATGACACCTAAAGCCTAGGACAGAGTAAACAACACTAAAATAGGATGATTGCCTTTGCATTGTTTTAGTATTGTTTACACATCAATACAAAATATTTTAAGCCGTCTGGTAAGCTCAATAGGAATGTGAATCGGGAGACCCGGGTTCAATTCCCGGACGGCGTAGGTCACTTTCGTTGTGATTGATCATGGAATCCTTTCTACAGTCATTCGCACTGTACCTCTGCTCTGACATGTACAGATGTTTCAGTTCCTTGCAAAAAATGAAGGCAACTAGTACTGGTAAACTGCTTAAAAAATCTAAAAACAAAGTGATCCCTCGGAAGAATTAATCACAACAAAATTACAAGAGAATTGCAGCCTCTGTTTGATTGAGTCTGTACATGAGGGATAATGAATACGTGCAACATCCCTCACGCCCCCTAGCACTGGCTTGAGCGGTACTCAATTCTCAACACTTAATAGTGCTGGCATCAATGATCCCGAAGGACCAGAAAAATATAACAACACTGAAGTGAAGTACGGGGCAACTTTTCACAGCTGCCACACAGCACTTGACACCTGTTGTTGTGAAGTATAAAAATCTGGAAACAAAGTGATCCCTCGGAAGCATTAATCACAACAAAATTACAAGAGATTTGCAGACTCGGTTTGATTGAGTCTGTACATGAGGGATAATGAATACGTGCAACATCCTTCACGCCCCATAGTACCGGCTTAAAGGGTACTCAATTCTCAACACTTAATAGTGCTGATATCAATGATCCCGAAGGACCAGAAAAATATAACAACACTGAAGTGAAGTACGGGGCAACTTTTTATAGCTGCCACACAGCACTTGACACCTGCTTTTGTGAAGTATAAAAATCTGGAAACAAAGTGAAAAAATTGTCTAAGACTTACAACAGTTAAAGGATTGGGTGAGTGGGCAATACGATCTGTACAATACAATGTGAAGTCGTCAGGTGGCTTTCAATAACATATACATTTGACATATACACTTCACGAAATTGATGGAGGGTCCGTGGCCCAGTGGATAAGGTTGACCTCAAACCATCATTTTTTTTGTTCAGTGGATGAAAATACTGCGAGTTCTAATTATAAGTATCTAGTTCTTATAATTATCGGGAAAAAAATTACATGTTGCTCAACAGGATTCAAGGATAAAAGTCAAATCAGTGAAGAAAAATACAGTTTTCATTCATGGCTACTAAAAATGAAATTAATAGCAATTTATATATCGAATTCACTGGAAATAAACAAATAATAATGGACATTTAACATGATAATGTTTAAAAAAGAATCTGCAGTTGTTGACCCATAGGGAATGATTCATGTACCAATAGGCGATGTCACATGCTTAACATTTAAGTTCTAGGCCTTGTACAGCAGATTTGTTTGCTTCGGATTGAAAACTTGAGAGAATACTGTATTTGGACAGCATGTCAATTCTTCCAATACATCTCATAGCATCCTATTATATTTTTCCCATCAATAATTAAACATATAAGATGTTGATTATGTAACTTGATATGTAGAAATCCCATGTGCAGTATATGAATTATGATGATATTGGGGTTATTAGGTTAAAGGTTAAGGTAACAATGACTCTTTGTGTATATAAAGTCCTTGCCCAAACAATATATTTGGAATGAGCCATGGTTAGATACACTATTTATGGTCAGCAGATGTTCCCTTTTGATTTTGAGATAATTAGGTCAAAGGTCAAGGTCTCAGTAACACGTTTTGGAAATATTTTCTGCGTTTTATGCATAATGATTGCAATACATGTCCGATCAGTAACTTGAGAAAGAAGCAGCGTGAGTTTAATAAACTGGACAGAGACATTATCCATGACCAGTTAATGACTATTATCGAATATTAGGTCATGAGGTCTAAGTTCAAGGTCACGGTAAGACATTTTAGAAAACACTTTTCTGCATAATGATGCAATCCATGTCCAAATTGTAACTTAGGAATTAGCCTTAGTTTGATAAACTGGACAGACCAGTAGATGACCAACTGGCCAAAAATGTCACAAAATTTAATGAAAAACAAGAAATTTTGAACATTTTTTGTCTATGTAAAGTAGAGGCCTGTGCATCTTATTTTTGACAATTGCTTTTTGTGTCGCCTGCTACAGAGTACCAGCTACATAGAAGGATAACTTCTCCGTGGTCTGTGTGTCTGTTTGTCAGAGCTACATTTAGCATTTGGATACTTGGGATGCTACATGAACAATAGGTAACCGTATTTTTCTTTGATGCCATTCATTCCGTAAGCTTTTCAGAGATTTTATTCCTTTATGTGTCTATGAAGAACAATAGAGAGAACATTGGAGTGGCCACATAAGTATGAATTGGCTATAATCAGGCAACACATGATCGCTGATCGCTCTTTATATAGTTTTTCCCATTTTTTTACTTCACTGCTTTTGTTTGTTTTAGTAAATGGACACAATTAAAATGAAATCTTTCAATACTATCAATTGTTCAATGTTATGGAGCCTTCACAGATAAGTGCATAACGGTGCAGACATTTACTTCAAATCACTTTCCTCTTATCGTTGAGGTTTTAAATCCGGCCTGGGACTTTAACTGTTGATTAATACTTGCGATGAAGATGTCCAGCAAGCTAAATGTTGTTGGTTATTCTGAGGTTTTCCTCCACCAAAGAAGCTGGAAAATAATGGTGTGACCTTTATACATTGGTGTGACTTGAAAGCAAACAATACAAACAAACATACCTGTAAAAAGTTGTCTTTTTATTTGAGCAGAGACAATTTTTTCTGATTTGTGTTTGTTTGTTTTGGGTTTTACGTCACATCGACACAGTATAGGTCATACGGCGACGTTCCAGCTTTACTGTTGGAGGAAGACCTCAGGTGCCCTTCCGTGCATTATTTCACTCTCTAATGTGTTGCTGATTTTTGATTGCCACTAAAAATATAAAGGGCTGTGAAGAGCTATGTGTTATGGAATCTTATAATAGAATGTAAAAATGGTAAATTTATGTTGTGTCCATATGTTGTTTCCATATGTTGATTCCATATATTGTTTCCATATTATCCAGAGTTGTATTATAGAATGTTTCTATTATATAACACAGATGAAAACTGTACTGTAAGAGAATCAAATGTACGGGGACAAAATATTATACTGCTATCTTAAATAGCATTTTAATTATTTTGCTCCATTCGCTAATAAGGAAATATACCAACATATTGCTTTCTTACGGGTATATTGAAACTTTTCTTTTTTTCAAAACTCTAACAACACATGTAAACTGCAGGCAGTAGATATAAAGCTTTAAACATTTTAAAACCCTTGTTAATTTTGACACACCTCAATTTCTTTTCTTTTTAAGTGTCAATGTTATTTCTGTGTTGATTGTTCAGACTATTTATGAAAATGTCATGATTTACAAAGTTATTAAAGAATTAGTTAAATAAATTTATACATCAAAATCTTCTACATGTGGTTTAGAGCTGCACTGAGATGGTAATGCCAATATGTGCAGATGGTAAACAAGATATGTTTGAGCCAAGTCCCTGGAACTTTACACAGTTTAGTGAGCAATGTCATAAAAGATGGAAAACATATCCCAGAGAAAACTGGATAGTTTCTGAGTACTGGGGTAAAAGTTTAGAAACAGCAAGTAATATTATATTTAGGTATGTTTATTTTATTTCTTACCAAGTTTTAAATTTGAGAACATGCAACTATTACAGGTCTTGCTTGTGTTAAGAGTCATTTAAAGGCATTTCCTGTAGGTTCTTTATTTTTACAGAGGCAAAGAAGGAAATTTGAACTAGTGAACAGAATTACATAAAAAATTGCATAAAAAGTGAATAATGATGTGAACATATTTATGAAATAAAATGGGGAACACCATCCTTCTAATTAGTTATCTGCCCCAGAAAATGAGTTTTTGCTTTTTTTCAAGAGCAGATCACTCAAAAACCAAGCATGCTGATGTCTTATTACAAATAATTCTTTGATATTTTATTTTCAGTGATTAAAGTTCTATATATGATTTTTTTCTGTATAGGTTGCTCTAACTTGTTATCAAAGAAAATATAATAATTTTGAACTTGATAGATAATGTCATAACGTCAAATGTTAATGCTGTGGATCATTTTAATTTACTTACTGATGTAACAAATGTTATTTCATAAAGCATAAAAATCATGGATCTTATCTTTCATTTTATTTTTAAAATATTTTGAGTTCAAACTGACCATGGTTACATCTATTTGACTCTAAGGCAGTGTAAAGAGACATGTAACTCATTAGCTCTTTCAAGTTTGTTTTAGCTATTAACCTGCATTAACCGAAAGTGATTAACCGTTGCCACCAGTACAGAGCTAGACCAGCCTGCACATCTGTGCAGTTTGATCAGGCTCTATACTGTTGGCAGCTCAATTTTTGCATTTTACAATAATCCATTACAATAATAGGCTCTATACAGTTTGTAGTTAAATTAAAATCCCATAATCTTTAAATGAACAGTTCCAAATTCAAAACAGGATAGGTCTATTCCATAAATTCAGCAGAAGAAACGGTAAAGCAGGTAAAAATGGTAGAAAAAGACATACAAATTAATATAATATATTTATAATGTAATCAGCTGTGTAATATCTAAAGGGGCCGGCTGTAGATACAATGATATTACAGATAAGAATTGTCAAAGAATACAAACTATAACATGATATTATAACATGATATGATGTCATTTCAGTAATGGAGCTCTTGACCCCTGGTCATCTGGTGGCGTAACCACAAGTCCATCTTCTTCCATTGTGCCATTGTTGATAGAGTCTGGTGCGCACCATCTAGATTTACGAGCAGCCAATCCTCTTGACCCACCCTCTGTTTTAGATGCTCGACAGTCAGAAAAAAATCTGCTAAAGATGTGGTTAGGTCAAGTGCAAGATGATAAGTCTGGACAAGGGGGTGGTGTATATAATGTATATGCCACTGATAAATACACCATTCCGTAAACAGTTTCTATTATATTATCTCCACACAACATCTCTACGGGTGTTCTAGTTATGTCTGTTATTTGTTTATTATTTCATGTAATACTGTTATTCTACCTGAAATGCATTGTATAATTAACTTTATTTCCAACTTCTTATATAATTACTAATTAGTGAAGTATTTTCTATATTTAAAAAATTAAGAGCTGGAGGTAAAAATGTAAGCATTTATATTCTCTAATAAATGCCCCTCACCCCTACCCTTTTAGAGATAGGAAAGAAAACCGTTCAATAGCAGTATATTAAAAAGATCAGGGAAATCAAAACAAAGGTTAATACTGCATCTTTGCATTATATATAACCCAGTGGTAAACAACACAAAAACAGTAGATTCTTTTAATTTTGACCCTTTTTGTACTTTAATTATAGCCCATTTTTTGGAAAATATAATGCCCCTGAGGGTATTTATTAGAGTATACATGTATAGTAAAAGACAACAATTTATAAGACTGGTGATGTTTAATAAGACAAATCAGTACATATACATTACATGTATTTAATTGGCATTATTTAATTGATTTTACTTTATTTACAATGTTTTACCTTCTGGTGTCAAACTATATGTTTTGGATTGCTGTTACATCAATTAGGAAAATGCAACATTGGCAAACTTTGTTGTTGCATATTCCTTCCAGTAGTGCTAAAAGTTTAACAGGATTTTTTTTAAATATAAATACCATAAATTATATCTTTTCCATTTTAGCAGATATCACTAGATATTTGTTTTTCTCTTTCTTATTATAAAGAAATATGTAAATAAAATCTTATATTCTTTTATAGTATTTGTAAATGAGATTCAATATGCAATTTTGTACAAGTTTCTTTTTATTTCAACTTAATACTTCAGCTTTATTATACATGTATATTCCAGGTGCTTATTTACTAAATCTAGTTCCTCTAAATAAGGAATTGTTATATTGTTTTTGTAAAGACGTCTAATGTTTGAATTTGAATACCAGCACAACAGATGTTGCAGTTCTTATTATGCCCCATGAACAGACTCCCTCCCATGAATAGACTCAACACAAAAACCGAGTCTGAGATTTTCTACTACATTTGTATTTTTTTTTTATTGTTCTTTATCGAAGGGTCACCTGTTTTCAAAATTATGATATCAATATTTATGTCCTGACCTCTGTTAAGATTTATATGTTTTAAATGGTATCTTATAAGGTTAACAGTTATTTGATAAGAATCAAAGGGAAGTTAGCAAGCTTAGAGCAATATTTGTTATGATTATTGTCCCTGGTGTATTTTGATAAAATGTGCTGCAAATGAAGAGCAAAACTCGTTCTTTTCTTTTATCAAGGGTATTTGGCTATTGATTTACCCAATATACCGTAATTACCCTTTGATCATTAAATATATAATACATGTTAAATAATAAGCCACTTTATTCGTCAGTAAATATGCCTGATATAGTGTGTACAGTACTGGTTTTTATATTAATATGTATACGAGTTAATTACCAATATCTTGGCATATATTGCGAATTTTATGTCAAAGTTCCTTTCGGGGGCGTAAGTCACTTTTCAGTAACAGCTCTTGTTATACAACTTAATGAAAGTCCACAAATTTAAGAACCCACGAATATGCCGGTTTTAATAAAGCCACAAATTTTCATGCCCTTGAATATAAGTGAATTCACAGTAGAAGTCATTTTTTATTTATTATACCTTTATGACATACATAAATTTCATGTACATTCATTTCACAACGTTATATAATATAATCACATAAACCACGGCGCAGGAGTGTAATAAAGTCATTTAATAAAAACGATATTACACTAGTGTAGTAACACTTTGACGTGACGTCATTTGCGCTTTATAGAAACATAGCGTTAAAGCGCGCTAATGTTTGCGTTACACTACGAGCGCGTCATTTAAAAAATACTCATTTTAACAGTTCACTGTTTTTCATTTTATATATGTGATAAAAAGAATATTATATTCGTGTAGATTCAATACTAAATTTATTGAACTCGTTGAATAAAACAATATTATGCTCGCCAGAGGCTCGCATAATATGATTTTATTCAACTCGTTCAATAAATTTAGTATTGAATTACACTCTATCAACATCCTCTATATATCAAACCGTATCATAATTTGTTTTTGGTGAATGTTATCTCTAGCTTAATTTTTACTTATGTCATAGTTTTTTTTTTAATATTTCATAAAAGGAAAAGAGTAGAAAAGTCCAAGTAATAAATAAGAGGGAGAAAGTATTAGTTTTTTTTAAAATCTTTCCTAAATGAAAACAGAAAAAAATGAGGGAAGGTGTGAAAAAGAGAGATCATACCCCGGTATTGTAAAACGCATGTTTAAAGATTGTCATTAAACTTTAATAAAAGTTAATGTTTATAATGTTTGTGGTGAAGAGTACGTATTATAATTTTAAAAAGGACCATTTCTTATGATGGTATTCAACCTTATTTTGAATAATTGCATTTTCTTTTCCAATAGTAATTCTAAGTTTTAGATATGACAGGAAATGTTTGAAAGAAGGTGACTTTTCGCCACATCAGCGTCGTTTGTGCCGTGTGGAGGCTGTAAAAAGTCGCCCCGTACATTCAATCAGAGATGTTATATTTCCGATCCTTAAAGATCGTTCAGCACGACATTATTGTTGTGCTTGTGGTATTTTTAGTTTTAACTTTTCGGCATTTTCTAGTTGGGTGGTTCCAATATTCCTACTTGAATAATGTTGAATCACCCTTAGGATATGTTGCCTGCTTTTAAACTTTGTCTTTTGACGTCTTATCTGTGATATGCAGGCTTCATAACCTCTGATCCCCTTTCAAAATTCCATTTTATTTAGTTCCGCCCATTGTTTTCTCGTTTAGGGCACACGCTTTTTATTACTTGGGGACCATACGCCGCTTTTCATGGAATGGCACGGAAGTGTCACGTTGAAGGTTCCATGATAACCGCCGTATGAACACATCTGCGGATGTTTCTAAATTCAAAATTTTACCATTTCATGTTTAAATGTTGAATTCTGCTTAAGCCGGTGCTAGGGGGCGTGGACGGTAGTTTGCACTTTACAGTACCGTCCATGAAAAGGCTCAATCAAACCGAGCCTGCAACATTTTCAATCATGATGTGTTGGACTTTCTTTAGGGATTCTTATTTTCTCTATTTTGTCTATTTTTCTGTTGAAAAATATAAGATTTCTTTAGATAAATAATGAAATTTATTACATCACTTTTCCAACTGTTTTGCAAAATACCAAAACTTATGATTTTTAAACTGAAAAGAATAGGTAACCCGTTTATATTTAAAAAGTTTCCTAGCCTCATTCCACATAATTTGAACATGATGACATTCCCAGAATAGATGTTCCATACTTACAGGCTGCATATTACAAAAATCACACAAATTTGTACTTGATAATTCCATGTTTAATACATATTTATTCGTTGGAATTATTCGCGAAAAGTTCTTATTTTGGTATCAATAGTAGCTTTAAAAATTTGGCTATATACTGATTTCCATTTATATCATGATTTTCGCTTTTGGTTTGCTTAGTATATAGTAAATTATTTGGTGATTTACTATCTCTGATCTCATTAACTAATGTCTTTTACGGAGTATACAATATATTATACAATATATACAATATATTTCATCTTTAAGGTTTTGTTTTATATTAGGATTTATGCTTGTGATGATTTGGTAGAACTTTAGATATGCATTATTTCCAAAATTATATAATTCTTTAAAATGCTCAAAAGAGTAGAAGTCTTTTTTTCTGTAGTCAAAAATATGTTTTATATATTTGATACCAATCTTTTATATAAAAAAGGTAACTTCCATTCCTTATATTAGAATTATTCCATATTACTTGCTTTCCAGCTGTTTCATTTAATTTGTCGTTTTTGATGCTATGCCATGCAATAAGTATATTTTTAAGAAAAGTATTGTGCTTACAAACATTTTTGATATCTTGATAATTTATTTCACTTTCACACAGTAGAAGTTCTTACCAAATAAGAGGGGGACAACTATTATGAAATGAAAAAAAAAACACACGTTTTCACTGTATTGTTTTTCCTGGAAACTTTGAAATGCTGATTATACAATGTAAGATCTTTAGTCCAGTCGTAATAATGTATGCAGTAAGGGGGTTGCTGGTTATACTCTTGAAACTTATTTTCAAAGGGAGTTGTATGGGTCATAGTCCATCAAACACGGTAGTTTCATTATCAAAACTTATCAGTCAAATAACATGGCACTAGCACATGAAAAATATGCGAAGAAATCTAATTTCTTGGTATGAAAGACAAAACACGAAATGCAGAATTACTACATTCAGTCATACACTTTATGCTGTTACAATAACTACCCAGCCATAGTTACTGTAATTATTATTCTTTTTCATAATTACAATTATAATCCTCATCTGATAAAATACACAAATAACAGTTCTCAATGCTCTCTGTTTATTGATATACATATTATTTCAAAGTTTCTAATATCTTACTAAATTTAAAGTGATTTTTCCCTCACACAATCATGGTTAACAAGTTATTTTTTCCATTATTAAACCCAATATAAGATGTCTCAAGCCAAAAGTTAAACACTGAATCACCCTAGACGATCTTGCACTGGTATTTATATATCCTTATCTCTCCATATTTGGGAGTTACTCTAGTGTTAACTGACAAAGATTTTACCTTATAACTACTGAAAACCGAACACCTGTAGGACTAGTCAAAAAGTTCGGAATTTGAAGTTTCCGGAATTCAGAAGTTCGGAATTACCTGAACAAGTAAATGCATTAAACATCAACTGTTTAACTAGGACATGTTGAAAAATATATAAAGTTGATTAAATTTATGAAATGGCAACATTATAGGACTTTAAAAAAGTTGATAACTATTTTAAATTTCATTATCACATATAATTGAATTGATTGATACAAAAGCATAATGTTAATTATCGCAAAATATCATTAGTGCATTTCATGTAGTACCTGCTATTAACCTGTGATCTTTTTTTTCATCACATTATACTATTTGAACACTTTTATCAATTATTGAGAAATTCTCATATTTTGAAGGTTTTAAAATCACAAGTATAATATTCCTTCACACCTTTTTCAATTTCCGGATTTTTGAAGTAAATTTGAATTGATAATCCAAATTTTATCAGAAAATCGTTCTGAATTCAGAATTTAGAAGTTCAATAATACAGATGTATTAATAGCATAGAAAACAGAATGAGAAATTTCGGGACCCTGAAAAATGTTCGGATTTCAGAAGTTTCCGGATTTTATAAGTTCCAGAATTCAGAAGTTACACTATAACCGATGTTTGAGTTACCTAAACCAAACAATTCAGGCATCTTGTCCAGAGTTTATGATGTTAACGATTGACATGGTTACTATAATAAAAGTCACACATACTGAAACACAATCCAGTCTCAACAGATTAGTTTTAGTTAATATTTTTAAGCAAATGCTGAAATATTGAATACTATGAGATAAACCAATTAAAACTTTTATTACATGTAGTTTGGAACATAATTTGTCCTTTCATTTTTTGACAGCAACGATAAAAAACTATAAACAGTCAGTAGTAATACATGTAAGAAAAAGGCTTTTGTAATATTTTTCGGTGTTTTATTTATGATCAGTCTTCTTCTTCCAGGAGAAAACCAAATGAAAAAAACTTGTACCACAGTAATGCAATCTTGGATAATCCAATTGCAAATTTGTTGATTATTTGACATTCCTCAGTAGCTATATCGATGGCTGACATGTTAATTCTTTCAAAGTCTAATGTTAAGATCTCATTGTCATAAGTCATAACTGTTAGAGGCATTTTCCAATCTTCATTTCTAAATACATTTTGCACTTCCCCATCAGTTCCCATAGTTACAATGCAGCTTGCTTTTCTGTCAGAGACACAGATCAGTTGATTTTCATCATTGAAGGATATATAGGCTGGTTGTTGGAACAACTGCTCACCTGCTTGATCTTTTATATCAAATCGTATTATACCTGTTCCTGTCGTATCCAGAGTTAGAATTTCTGCGGGTTTAGTGCATGCCACATACAGTTTGTTCTCTGCAAAGTGTATACTCTCACATCTAGAACCAATCATGATTTCTTTTTCTTCTTTCATCTCCTTATCTTCAACTGACATGATTTTGATTTTCCTTTCATTTGGCAATGTAAATGCAAACTTGTTTTCACCAATAGCAGCAATATCCCATGGGCATGATGTTAATTCTTTCTCTGTTACCAATTTGTTTTCATCTTTCGAATACAGCCTTACACGATTGTAAATTGTATCTAGTATTATTACATTTTCATTTGATATAGGCCAACCTCTTGGCATTCCATATTCAGGATAGTTTCCATAGAAACTCTTCAGATTCTCTTCTGATTCCCCTTCGCTTTGTACACACAGTTCACCAAGAGCATCAACATTTTTCAGCATACTGGTGAGAAACTTGTTTGGAATAAAACAATATTTGTCCACTTTGTTTTCTTTTTGTATATCTGCCACTTTTTGTTCAAGAGTTTTCAGTTTCTCTTGATTTTTCTTTAATGCAACGAATAGCTGTTTGCTTTGTTTTGTTTCCTCTAGTATTTGAAAATCTTCTTTCAGATTATCAAGAATATTTTTTGTATCATTGGCTGAATATTCAACTTGTTTCAGTTTTCTAATTTCATTTTTGTCTTTTTCTTCAGCTTCCTTTGCAAGCTCCTGCTTCTGCAACTCAAACTGCATGTTGATTTTCTGCTGTAGCTTTTTGATTTCAAAAAGAGCTCTTACTCTGCAAGATATACGTACTGCTATGTTTTCTCTTGCTGTTTTTATCTGATCCTCTAGATTGGTCTTAGTTGTCTCCATTCTTGTACAGAATTCTTTGTATGCAGGTGATATGACCACATCCTTAGCAATATCTGTGAGGGTACAGATTTCAAGGCATGGTTTGTGGTGTATGATCATACAACAGCTGCAGCCAACTGTCTCATGTGTTTTACAGTAAAATTTAACCATCTCTCCCTCATGATGTGAACAGGTTTCAGAGAGACTTTCATCAACCTTTCTCTTTGGCATTTCTGACTTCGTCAGCAATTTGTGATGCCTTGATGTTTTAGGAAGGCAGTGATACTTGAAGCAGTGATCACAAAGATAATGCTGACATTCCACACAGAATCCTGCAGCCTCCTTGTTTTCTCCATCTTGGTAACAAGGGTCACAAAATAATGAGCAACTTTTTACTTCCTTGTTTGGTTGATTTGTAAAGTCTGAAACTTTCCCAGATACACTGTCAGCCATTTTATTTATGTAAACTCTGTCTTTATTTTATATTATTTGAAGCAGAAGCTGTCATTTTAATATATATTTCCTTTTATCTGACTTTGTTTAAATCATACATGCTTATGATAGCTACTATGGGAAAAAATCTGTATTTGCATAAGAAAGATAACAAAAGTTTATTTTGGATATCAGAGAATATACTGCTGCACAAACTGTAGGGGCACTTCTTGTTAGCTTATTGCTTATGAGAGCATTCACAATGTTATACAAATGTAACTAATATGTGACACCTGTATTTCAAGTTTTATATATAGCTCCCTGGGATCTAAATCATCCTGCCCTTATGGATCCACAAGCAATTGAGAAGACTGATATTGTTAAGGATATAAAACTGCCTTTTTGAAGAAATATGGCATAAATACAAGATTTTTGCATTTTTTTCTGGTGAACAAGTTACATGAATTATGCATGTGGGCCCCATTTTCACTGTTGTAACATTTAATTTAAGCATGATCTCTTAACGTTTTAATGCTGTTGCCTTCATTAAATTGTAGAGAGAGTTTTGTAACATTGAATTTTTAAGCTGTGATTATCACAGTTAAATCTTGGATACAGTTTTATACCATGACCAATGATTGATATAATGGCAAAATTCGATGACAAATACTTCAACATGTTATACTCTGGAGACCTACTTCTACCTTGCAGAAATGCATTATTTTTCCAGCAATGAGTTTCAAGTATCAGAATGGAATGATCTATTTAATTTCACAGCTTTCCGTTGATGGTATGTATATAATTTTGCACGATGTTTTATCTAGCTGTACATATATAATGATGAGGAGAGATTTGTGGTTGAATTTAATTGGTTGAAAGTTAGATTTGAAGCCACTGGTATCTCTTAAGTACATGTTCTAGTTTGTTATCAGTGTCCGGGTGACATTGTACCAGGCTGAGTGAGGCTAATATGTTAAATATACAATCACTGCTGTAGCTGTACCAACTCCACAAATGGCAATTTTGCAAATACATAAAACTATATTTCACAGAGTTAACACTATATGTTTTATTTTCAATAGTGGCTATGCCATTCATGAAAATATTAGAGCTGTTGTTCACGAGTAAAATATCATTTGATCTTACATACAAAAGAAACTAAATTTCTATTTATTTCATCTTTTTTAATGGTTTTAAGTCTTTTTTATACCGACGCAGCATCTGTGATGCAGTGGCATATAGTGATTCACCTGTCTGTGTGTGTGTGTGTGTGCGTGCGTGTGTGCGTGCGTGTGTGTGTGTGCGTGCGTGTGTTGGTGCGTGTGTGTGTATGTATTGGTGTGTGTTGGTGTGTGTGTGTGTGTGTGTGTGTGTGCGCGTGCGCGTGCGTGTGTATGTGTGTGTGTGTGCGCGTTTGTGTGGGTGTGTTTGACCTAAGAACTCACTACATGAGTCCAAACGCACACCAATTTGACAACCCACTACATCAGTTACTGTAGTTAGTTGTCAAGGTATGGCAAAAACCCTTATTTTTATCCACTCTTTCAAAAAATTAAAAAATAAGGTAATAATTGACTTGTATGTGTGCATTCATTATTTTTCGCACTTTTAAAATGAGTCGGTTTCATTGTCACGCACATTTTACCCAGTATTCGCGCGGCGCATGCGCAAAGAAACCATTACGTCACACGTGAGTACACAACAAAATTGGCATTCATGTAATCGTGGTTATAAATGAGTTAGGATGAGAACTAAATATTTTACATTTGCACAGGCATATTTTTGTATAATCAGTAAAATGAACAAAAAAAACAAACAATATTTTCACAATGTTATGAAAGTGGGACAAGCCTTTCTGCAGGTATCCCGTGATCTTTTTAGGCACAGAGCCGACAGAGACAACGATATCTATATCATTCAAACAAACGCAAAAATAAGATGAAATATAAGTTTGGACAAAAGTATAAGCAAAGCTTTCAATTAAAAAATCTTACTGATAAACAACCTCTTTTGTTCCGAAATGTAAAATTACCGTGTCGCGGAAAAGAATGACAACTTTGAACTTAGACTAAGAATAATAACAAAATACTAAGTAAACATATTTTCACAAACATGACATTATGCTTAATAAAGAAATCAATCAATCTAACAAGGCATGGGAAAAGTTGTTAAGTAAACTATTGTGTAACTCTCCAGGAACGATGGTCAGGAAACTACCCCTTATATCACTGATAAATTGTTGAAAAGGGCTTAAAAACAAGCAATTGAACCTGGGACAGAAAGATACATAATTAGTCTCAGATGAAACTTACATGGAATTACTTCCCCAAATACCCTTATATGTGAAGTCGGTACCGTAGAGCTGTCATCGAAAGAAATGATATCGATGTATCAGTGACATTTTTTTGTAAATCGATTATGGATTCAATTTTTTTTAATCGATACTTTCACTAATTATTAAAAGTCTATGAGACAAAAAATAACTCGAATAATAAACAGAAACAGGTGCCCTGGACCAAAGGACCTGTAAAACTATAAGGACAACTTCACATTTTTGACTGTATTCAGACTTCCAGAATGAATATTTTTTGTGAAATAAAAATGTTTACAAAATAATCGAATTTTGATAATTATATGTAAAAAAAATCTGACAGATTTAAATCATTTATATAACTGTCTTATGATCTGAGGGTCATCATTCGTAAGTATTTTAATTTTAGTCAATGGCCAAAAACATTAAAATTGTGGACAAAAAGAAAGGAAATTAATCAAAGTAAAGTCCAGTTTGGTGACATTTTGGGTTTGTGGAAGAAAAGGTAGTTGTTAACTCAAAATTAGTTGCGTGTAAGATTTGCCATTAGATCATACCTTTTAGTGGCAACACAACAAACTTGAGATCACATCTTGATGATAAACATTGTTACTAACAAAAAAAGTTTATTTAGAAATGTTTAAAAAAATAACATCGTGAACTGTTAAAATGAAATTGAATTTTGTTAATTGGGGTCATGCTTTGTTTTAAGCTCACCTGACCACAAAGTGGTCAAGGTAAGGTACTTCGTGGTCAGGTGATGGTCAAGTTGAGGTATAGTGATGGAGCTATGCCCGTCGTCCGTCGTCGTCCGTCGTCAACAATTGGGTTGTTAACACTCTAGCAGTCAGAGTTTTAATAGGATCATAATAATGTTTGTCTCAATGCAATGCAGCCCAAGCTCGAATATGGGTCATCGGGTCAAAAACAAGATGACAGGAGCTAAAAATAGAAAAAGCTTGTTAACATTATAGTGGCTGCAGTTTTGATCCAATATCCTGTTAATTGGTTGGAAAGCTTGTTTTGATGAGTGCATGGTAAAGTTCGAATATGGGTAATTTTCGGTCAAAAACTAGGTCACAGGAGCTAAAAATAGAAAATCCTGTTTACACTCTAGTGGCTGCAGTTTTGATTCAAATATTCCTGAAATTTGTCAGGAAAGTTGTTTTGATGATATCTTTATCAAATTTAAATATGGGTCCGCTTCGGTCAAAAACTAGGTCACATGAGCTAAAAATAGAAAAATCTTTTCAACCCTCTAGTAGCTACTGTTTTGACCCAAATATCCTGGAAATTGGTCTGACAATTTGTTTTGATGATTTCTAGATCAGGTTTGAATATGGGTCACCTGGGGTCAAAAACTAGGTCACACTGCCCAAATATGAAAAAAAAAAACTTGTTAATACTCTAATGGTAACAAATTGACTCAATTGTCATCAAACTTGGTTATGATGCTTATCTAGTTAAGTCGAATATGGGTCATCTCTGATGTAAAACTAGGACACAGGAGCTAGAAATAGAAACATTTTATGAACTCTCTAGTGGCTAATGTTGTAATCCAAAATAACCTAGAAATTGGTCTACCAGTTTGTTTTGATGATTTCTATATTTTGATGATTTCTAGGTCAAGTTCGAATATGGGTCACCTATCAGTTATCCAGTTATAAATGACACTGTTCGCCGAACACAAGTTTTAATCAACACAGGCTGGACACAAACATTATCTTACATGTACTTTACTCAATTATACACATTCATTACGAAAAACGATCCTATTTACTTACAAACAGTTAAATTTCCGTTGACGTACATAGCGGTATTGAAAATATCCAGCAAAAATAGTGGCAGCCATAACTCTATAACTAACCATCTCCTGCAATGTTTTCACTATATTTGGGATTAAACGTGGTGGGTTTTATTTGCAAAAGTGTCCTCATATCGTACAAGAATTTTTTCACGAATTTCAGCGTTTTCAAATAGGACAGTTCAAACGATGGCCAGGTCTTGCTTAACCCATAAAAAAGAATGTGACTTCAGAAAAAAACAAAATCAGCATATTGTAGTAACAGTTAAAGAACTTTTTCCTGTTCTTTATTTCAATCTGAAATCTGAAATGCTTCCATTATTTTGGACTTAAAACTAACTGATACAGAAGCAAATTTATATGAATCTATCTTTCTACAGATTTTTATTTTAATGAAATAATTACTGCCTTGAAAATGTTTTTGAACGGGGAACGCCGTACCCTACGGGTGTTTTGGTTTGCTGTTAACCAATTATCGTAAGGAAACGGTTACACCACTGAGATACATGAAAGTAAATAACTTTATTTTGTTTGCTGTTTATGAAAAAAAAATATTCAGACATGCTGGCGGGATAAATAGAGGATAATAGATCGGTGCCGTGGATGGATGAAGTTTATCAGGCGACGTGGAGGAATTTATTGGGTGAGCCGAAGGAGCAGAGCCATATAATCTTTCTCCATCCATGACACCAATATATTATTCTATTTATCCTGTCACCGTTTTTTCTTTTTTAGAATTTTATTAGGCAAATTACCTTTAATCTGTAACAATGTTATATCCCTTTTGTTGTGACGCTTTGGCCTTTGCGCGGTAGAAAAAAATAGTTCTGAACTTTCTGATATAATTATTTTAAATGCAAAAATAGTTATTTTTAGAAGATGTATATTGTACATGTATTTAAGTTT